CTCAAGATATAGATTTTCTTAAAACATGTTCCGCCAAAATTCCATCTAGGACCTATAAGTGTGAAGTGAAGCTATGAAAAGCTATTATTTTCAGCTTTATCTCATCTTGTTTCTATGCGTAGAGCATGATTTAAGGGGAGCTTCATTGGTGAAGTTGTTTGCAAAAGATCTGCTTGTAGCAAAAAAAAACTAAAATCACGATGATGAAGCTGTGCTAAACATCCTAAATCTAAATACAATTTAATGCAACCATTTTTGTAGCACAAACTTTTAATTTGATAAGACTAATTAATTGTTGGTAAAAAAAATAATATAAAGTTTAAGGCAGCTGCTTAGTCGTGAGCTCAACTTCATCAAGTGGTTGTCAAAAAAACTTCATCGGTGAATCAGTTTTTTGAGGCTTCAATTCTACTAACAACTTTACCAAACCGCTTATAAAATAGTTCTGCATGTAGATTTTTTTAAAAAAATATACTCTATGTAATCTCACATAGGGCCCATAAAGTGAGGTGAAGTTGAAAAGATACTATTTTTAGCTTCATACTATTGGTGAAGTTGTTTGCAAAAGACCTATTTGATAAAAAAACAGCTTCTGAAGCTAGTGGTGGAGTATGACAAATGAACCCTAGATTTTAAAGTTCGTCACTATATATATTTGGGATAGACACGCTATGAAAAAATACAAATAGAATGCAAGGCAGCATTGATTTGTTACTACAATGATTTTCAAAAAAAATCACTTAGAATTTTTTTGAGAAATAACTTGGGAAGTTTCTCTGCCAAACCTCTGACTAGCGTATATCTCATGACTACTGCAACACATGTGTATATCTCCACAACTTGGCAAGCTGAAAATAGAAACATAATGGACAGCTGGGCACAGATATGAATCCCCAAACTAGGCTTCTGTCAGAAGAATTTGAAGCTAGCTACCTCATCAGACAAGCATAACTCTGTGATGAGAAGTGAGAACAATGTTCAGTATGGAGTGAGTGTCAGCATATAATGATAACCATTACCAAACATAGTATGTGACACAAGAATGGAAGCGTTTATCCATCTAGTTAGGCCCCTGGCATTTTAGTAGAGTTAGCATCCCATTTTCAGGGCACCGATTTTTGTTTTTTTTTCGTTGTTATATGTAATGACATTGATGCAAACCTGAAAACGGTACAACTTTTTTTCACAGTGTTACACATAATGAGTAGAGATATTAGGCAATAAATTGGTGTGTATTTTATGGGCTGGAGGAGTTTTGTCCATTTCTTAGCATTTGAGTCCTTCACTAAATGTCTACATCACCAATTCACTATGGGGGGGCATCTAGGATTCTAGCTTTATAAAAGGATGTCATTATGTCAAATACCACCTTCTTGCAAAGAAAAAGGTTTGTCCACAGACAATTTAGCTATGCTTTCAAACTAATTATAAATAACAACATTACGATTTCTTTTTTTTTTCGTGCAAGCAACATTCCCCACTTTGCACGCAGCCTTTCCTAAAGATCAGACCGATTAAACTAATAGCTTAGCTCAAAAGAACAGTAAAATAAAGTAGAACCCATCAAAAAGAACCAGTAGTTGCCCGTGCGTATGACTGAACCAACTAAACCATGTTAGTGTCAGCACAGGTTGGGATTCCCACTGGCCCGAACTCTAAGGCTTCAGTTCTCTCTGGTCAGTGCAGACACTACATAATAAATTTTCGAGGAAGTGAGTCTACCGATAGTGCTTGAAGTGATGGTAAAAGCATTAAGGAAATTTGAGGATCTAAAAAAAGTAAGTTATAGGTATCCGGATTCTGTAAAGTGATTCCTCCAACCGGAGTTTTGAAGTTTGTGCTAAATAATCAAGATGATCACTTTACAAGGCACATAATCACTTTTATCCAGGAGAATCAACTTCCATAACAAAAATCAGAATCGTGAAGTTCTTCCAAACTAGCCCTTATCTTAACCTTTTGTGCTAATATATAAACCATTCCTTTTACGAGAAAAAGAAGGTATTTATGGATATGTTGCTTCAGCTGTTTTGAGAATACCCTGGTTTGCTGAGGTCAGCAAATAAACCATCCGTACTATATAGATATATTTGCTTTAGCTTTTGTAGAAATACCTGGTTTGCTGAGGTCCAGCAAATAAACCATCCAAAGATAGACTCGACTTTTCTGCACCACCACCAAAAGAACAATAAACCATCCAGGGCAGAACTCTAAGCACCTGGGTCGGCAAATAAAGAAAATAAATAAAAATTGCGTCATTAACATCTCTCTTTCTCTGCACCCTCTCTTGAATCACTGAGACAAAAATACATGTATCAGCAAATAAGAATTTGCATGTAAAGCCAGTTCCCTTGATGAGTTGTTGGCTCTTAAGCTCAACACAGCCTGCTGTATATTTCCACACTCACACTTGTCATGCATGTCCCAAAGCTCAATCATGCATAATAACCACACTATCAACGAAAAGTCACACCACAATATTTCGCCACATCAAACCGACTCGTCATTTCCTGCCTTTTCAAGCAGGATTGTGCTCCTTTGTAGCTATTCATACGTCAACTTCCATAATATCTAGAGCATGAGTTTCCTGTAAATTGGACAGCAAAACACCCATTTATTCCATTTGGTTAGAAACAACAGAGCTAACATCATGAGATTATTAGAGTGTTATTCTTCCAAGTCCTTTGAGATTAAAGCAACTAGTGAATACTGCCTTTTGCTAATTAAATACTTCTGCAAGACATTCATGCATGTTAGGACAAAAATTAGGTCAGCTCTCTTGTGCCCCCCAGCTGAAGCCTGAAGCAAACTTCCCAGTTTCTGGATTCCTGAAAACCCTGGTTTTTCTATTGGAAAATTCCACGCACTCATGAACAGGATGCTGGTCTCAACGAACTCTACCACCTTGTCCCACATTATCATATGGCTGTACCTGGAAATGCTACTGTGTGTGAAAAAAAAAAACCATGTTACATCACACACTGATGGCAACAGTGACTCACTGACATGACTGATCATGCTGTAGATAATAAACCTCCACTTTATTCTGTTTCAGTCTGGATACTGGGGCCATGTAGGCTTCT